TATATATATTATATTATATTATATATATTATATTATATATATTATATATAATATTATATATATAATATTATATATAATATATATATATATAAAATATAATATATATATATATATTATATAATATTATATATATACTATTATATATAATATATATATATATTATAATTATATATATAATATCATTCATCATTCATCATTCATCATTCACGCATGAAAGGGAGTCCGTAGTCCCTTGCTGCAGCTTGCAAGGCTCTCTGTGCTGAAAAATCGACCAGTGGACAAAAGCCTAAAAGCCTTGACAGTCAGGAAGCCATATATATATATATGTTACTGCATGTATATTCTTGAACGGCATCCAAGATTAGCCACATACAATTCTGGATGGCACACTGCTTCCGAAGGACAGCTGCTGAAACCTCAGCACCTGCAGCGTCCGCGAGGAAGGCCGATGAAGGGCCTTCTGCGAGCCGAATGGCTGCGACTGGTCGGACAGCGGCAGATGCTGAGAAGGTTCCGGAAGGAGGGAAAGCTGCTCGGTTGCAAGGAGAGTTGAGATGTGAAAAGATGGGACTTGAGAGGGAGTCCAATGGGCTGAGGAGACAATTTCAAGGCAATTGTTTACACAGCATGTGGGCCTGGGTCCTGGGTCAAGATTAATTATTGACCCCCCGGCATAGATGAATGAGACTTACGATGGATTTCGTGGGTCCATTGGTACCATAATTTTGACCAATCGCCACAAAGGCTGACCCCTTGGAAAGACGAGAACTGGGAAGACTCAATACTTCTCACATTTGATGTTGATAGAAAATGATAGAAACCAAATTGAAGTGGTTGGTTCAAGTACCAGGCAAAACCTCATAAGCCCATCCCAGTATGAAATTCACCTTGGGAATCCTGCTTTCAGCCCCCCTTTGTGCTGCAGATTTCTGAAGGCCTCCCACGGAGCAGATGGCGCAGGTCGTAGTGCAGACGGTGCAGCTGGGAGCCGAGCCGCTGTGGTATGGGAGTTCAGTGTGAAGGATGGCTTCAAGGCTTTCGACAAAGAATGTGGCTGTGGCTGAAACTCCTTTGGTGATGGGTAATCTAGGAATCATTCCCTGCACACCAACCAGAAAAGGGGCTCATTTTACATAATCCCATGCATGGGGTGGTTTATTTGTTGGGTTTGGCTCATGAAAACTTCAATCCGTCAACCACCAGAAATCCAAGGTGAAGAATGATGGAGGGTTCCCTGGGAATCCGTGTGAAAGAAACCTGAAAGTTTTTTTTAGCAACTGGTGGCAGGGCAAGTAAACATGGAGGATGATTCTGCTAAAAGTAAATGGGTAAATGAAATTGATTGGAATTTGCCGGGCTCAAGGGAACAGACGTTTTTTGAAAGCAAAGTAGACTTGAGGTCAATGCAGACACTGACTTGAAATCCCGATCATTTTTTATAGATTTGTGTTCAGCAAAAAACCATTCAAAAAGGGCGGATCTGGATCTGCAAAGTGATCTGCTTAGGCCAAGAGTTGGTGGAAACCCTACATCGAGCTTTTCTGGCTGGTGGTAATCGTGTTGGCCATGTGCCTATGGGGAAGCAGATGCTTGGCACAGAGCTGCCAACGGCAGCTAGTTGTGTTTTTTCGGCCCCACATTGGCGATTTCTTGACCGTGAGCAATTTGCAGAAGATCTCTGCCTTTTCCAAGCTGCAAAACGGAGTTTTTTTTTTTTTTTTTTCGGATTGTTGACCATTGGTGTTTGTCGGGTATTCAGACATTGCAAGTCGCTGCATGAGGACAATCCTGGTAGACTTCATTGAAGCTTGGATCTTGATGGATTCGTGGGGAGCTTCGGAAAACGCCCGCTTTCCTTGAAACTTATGGGAAATTTCATAGGAATTTAGATGGAATTTGTATGTTGATCGAATGTTGAGATGGGTCTGAGCTTGAGAGTCGGAATCTGGACGTTTTCTCGTGAATCTGCTCAGAGAATTAATCCGTGGACCCCTTAAATACCTGCCCGAACCATCTCGAACCCCTGGTTTAGTGTTGGATCTATTCATTTTCATGGTCCATTTTCCAGGAACTAGAATGTTTGGTTGACATGAGAATGCCCACTTAAGTAATCATTGTACAAGCTGGAAAAAATCCTGGGTTGGTATATGGTCTATGATGACTTCAGGTATCTTCAGATTGTTACAATCATTGTTCGCCAGGATATACCAGGATATACCCAGGATACAATCATTGTTGCAGGCCCATTCTTTGTGGATGGCTTCAACCGTCACTTCGCGCCAGGACATGAAGCAACGCTTGGAAGGAGGAGCTCGAGAGCGCAGCGTGCGACGGAGACTCCTTTGAGCAAAAAGATGGTCGACGTGAACGGTCCGTGGCGGTACAAAGGCATAAGAAAAAGGGGAGATGAACATGGGATCCACAATATAAATGGGAAATCTATGAGAATCTATGTCAATGTAATTCAATGTATAGATAATATAATTGATCAGATAGATAGATGGATGGATGGATGGATGGTGGATGGATGGATGGATGGATGGATGGATGGATGGATGGATGGATGGATGTAGATAGATAGATGTAAATAAATGAATATATATAATATATATATATGTATATATGTATATAAATAGATAAATATAAATAGATAAATATAAATAGATACATATAAATAGATAGATATAAATAGATAGATATGGATAGATAGATATAAATAGATACATATAAATAGGTAGATATAAATATAAATATATATATATATATAGAACAATATAACAATGTAGATAGGTAGATATAAATAGATAGACATAAATAGATAAATGTAAATAGATAGATAGATGCCACACAACCAACAATATGATTTTGGGTTTGTCTGAAGATGAGATATACCCAATTCATGGCAGTTTCAGTGTGAAAACATGCTCCCTAATTAATTTGTGTTTTTTGGGATACCCTATTCTTCAGACGAATCCATTTGCCAAAATGATATTTTCACATGTCTTCACCAACACATTGTTGGGGATTTTGGCAGCAAACAAAATGGTTTCGTTACTTTGGTTGATGGTGTTAGGGGCCAGCTACCAGGTTTGAGATTGGTTGCTTTAGCTGCTCAAAGGTTGGCTTGTGCTTACCAGCGCAGGCTACGCAACGGGGATCACATGGTAGACATGTACATGAGGATGGATCAAGTGTCAATGTCCATGATTTTCACATGTGAATACATAGGGCGATGACTGAAGGCAGCTATGTCTCTATTCGGTCTCTATGTCATGCAAAGTATATCTCCTGCCTTTCAACACTGGTCAGTCTATGTCAATCTCTCGTTTCACCAATCCGGGAAGGTAAACACATGTAGAAATAATGTCAGGGCACTGGAATAGGTGTGTAGCTCATGTGCCTCTAGATAAGAAAATTCAAGTGACCAGCAGGCTACTGACTAGCCGTGGTTGTCTTGCATGCGCCCTTGGCTGTGCTGCCTCCTGATGGCCCTGCCCTTTGCACCTGCAGTAACTGGCCCATTGGCTGCGGGAAACTCAGAGCACATCCTCAGTTGGTGCCTTAATCTGTTCCGTTTGGGTTTGTCCAAAAATACAGCACCCCCAAAATCCAGTGCTAGTGAGGATACCTAGAGATTTCCAGGTAGTGACTGGCGCCAACAAGGGGGTGGGCTTCCATGTGGCTCGACAGCTTCAGGACGCAAAAATGTGGGAGGTGTCCATCAGTTACAAAGTTCGATCAAGATTGTGCAAACTTACTGTATACCAAAAAGTCAGTTTGGATCCTTAAAACACATTAAAACACCAATCATTTTTGATGGTTAAAGTTAAACATCCCCATTTTTGGATGGCAAAACACACATCTTTTTTTGGATACTGGGCACTTTTTTTTTGATCCCATCCAGCAACGTCACAAAAGGAGGCCGGACTGCGGGTGATCATTGCCTGCCGCAACGAGCTTTTGGCAAAACAGGCAGCTGCCACATTGGGCTGTGAATATGAAATCTTGGATGCTTGGATATGCTTGGGCTGTGGAAAGTGTGGGAAACAGGCGAAATGGGATGCTCTTGTGGGTTATATAAGTTATATATTTTCATCTTATGGATTATCTGTAGACATTTCCCAGTAGTGTTGGGCTGCGATAGCAGCTTGGACTGTGAAAGTTCATGACCAAAGGGTTAAAATTATTGCCCCTTTCTCGTTGCGACCTCTAGATACCTTTGGTCCATGTTCACAAGATGTCATATTGTGACCCCAAATTCAATGTCAAACTCCTGGGCCAGTTGACCTCAAGATCACCCCAAAAAACCAGATGCCTGAACAGCGCCATGATATCCGCATGATCGGACAGTTACGCGTATCCACAATAATTCCGTAAGTATCTCCATCTTTTCCCATGATGTTCATGAAATCCCCAACTATCCCCAACTTATTTCCATTCTCAGCCCATTTTTTTTCCCTTTGCCCTTCGACTCACCAAGGATTTGGCATCAGATGCTTCAATCGATGCCTTTGCCAAGCAGATGGAGACGAAGTATGCGCAACTGGATGTGCTGGTGAACAACGCCGCCATCGCCTTTAAGGTCCCTGGAAAGACAGGACTTCGACGTTGAACAGATGTTAGATGTCAACAATGTGTCAACAAAAATAATATTTGATATGTATTATATATATAATTACATATGTTGATAATTAAGATGTGTTATATCTGAAATGTTATTATCATATGTTTTTCAAAAAATGTTTTCCGTACCTCCATCATGAGATATGACAACATGTATACATGTACACATAGATACGTATATGTGTATTACATACATATATATATATATAACGATAATAGATGCACACACACACACAGAGACACGTAATTACGCGCACTCCACCAAGCCTCCACTCAAAAGCTGCAATGTCTGACGGGACTCGCACTCCGCGATCCGTCTTCGCAGTCACCTAAAATCTTTGCGCCGGAGCGAGGACGTTCTCACAGTCCTCGGTGTGTCCAGCCTGGCACACCCCCCGGACCCCCACCCCCTACGCCTCCGGATATCTCACCCCATATCCAGTTTTTGGCGCCCGTGACACCGCCGGAGTTATTGGACCAATCACCAGGCACACCAGACAGCCAATAGCAACCAATGTCTTTCAGGAAAAAAGGACAACATTAGATGGTAATACTTTCAATACAACGTCAATACATTCCTGTTCCTATCTATTCTGTAAGACACTTGTCTTTCTGGTGTTTTTTTCTGTGGCACATGCAGCGCTCGCATGTTAAGACCTGAACGCCTATTCCCAGAGAAAGCGAAAAGAAGCCCAAACTGCGGGTCATCGGGGGGGCGGTGAGCACACACACACACATATATATACAGATACACATCAACACAAATCATGATATAAAATGATATAAATGGTATATGACCTGTACATATTCTATTTCATTTTTCATGTTGTTCAAACCAATCCCAGACAGCCATCGGAGCCCAGACTTCGACAGGCCGCGGATCCCACGCCCTTCAAGGATCAGACCGTGCCAACGTGGCGCGGCCGGAAGTAGTTTTAACCCATATAGAGCGCATATATATAATATATTAATTATTTTTCATAGTACATAATAATAATGATTTTTGTTTATTTATTTATTTTTTTTAAAACTGTTATTATAATCGTTATTGTCATCCCGAAGTAAATAGAATATGGAATTTTCGAACATATTTCCGTTTTTATGAGGATTGTTTGGACATCCCATATTCTATCTACTCCAAGATGACCATATAATATAACATGCAGAAACGCATTGGCTTCGCGGCTGCTGCAGGTTTGTATCTACCAGGTTGTCACGGCATTGGGAAGTTAGCCACTTCAACTGCGATGCACCCTGCAGTCCTGTCAGCCCCAGATGAATAAACCTTGAAAAACCCTGAGGCTATCTGCCATCAGTATCTGACACCCTTCAAAAACAACACCCAGGGGCGATGCCGGGTTGACATGATCTCGTTTGAACAGGGGGGCCTGCGGATCAACCCCAGAAATTCACGGATCATATGCAGTATTGCATGACATTTTTCTTGCCTGCATGATGCTAGAGCCTAACATAGATCCTTGACTCCTTCACATACTTCAAAATAATCTGGACTTTGGCAGGGGTGCCCATTCAAAAGTTGTTCACTCCCCGCGAGGACACGTCATCCCACCACTCCTGGGATTCCTGGTCAGCTGCAGGTTGGCGATCAACTTCTTCGCCACCATGCGCCTCACGGACCGTCCTAACTTGGCGACGTTTCTTCGAAGGGTTGAAGGGTTACCTTCTGAGAAAACTAACAGATAGTTACGGAAACTATGGAAACCATGGCCCTTTGATAGTTAAATTTTACCTATTAAAGATGGTGATTTTCCATAGCTATGTTAGTTTACCAGAGGGTATATGAATAATGTTAGTGATTTTCCAGTTCGCAAACTGTTCAATTCAGTTCATTGGTCGCCCCACAGGACCGGCTCCTACCTTTGCTTCGTGCTTCTGCCATGAAAGGCGGCCGCCCGAAGATTGTGAATGTGGCCTCCATGGCCGGAAAACTACGGCAACTGAGTCAGAAACTGAAGGTCTTGGAATGTTTGGGAAAACTTTGATTTGCTTGGTTTAGATTGGTTTATATAGATATATAATTAATTATAATTATATACATATACATATACATATACATATATTTGGATTCACATTTGAACAGCAAGTGAAAGGAATTTCAAACATAGTATCATGTATTAACATATTATATGTATATATTTATAAATACACCTATATACATTTACATATCATATATGATCAATTACTATCATAGATTATCATACCACTTGTATCATCGATTATCATGGATCTGAGGCCCAGCCCTGCAGGCGCAGTTTGCTTCGGACACCTTGGATCGCAACAGGTGGGGGGGGTTCTTTTTCGAAGGTTGACTCAGCAAGGTCGTTTTTGTAGGTTCTCATACTTTGTAACCCATGACGGATCCATGGTATGGTATATGTGCTAACATGAATGGGGTATATTGATGGTAAATGATACCATATATACCATACATGGATCCTATGGGTAATGGCTTTGAATCGGTTTCAAACGAATCTTCCATGGAATTTAATATGATTTCGATGGGTCTCCATGAATTTACATGGACTTACATGTTTTGATGGGGGATGTTGGCCGAAAAATGGGAAAACGAAGGGGGAAAAACAGCGCAATGTTTTTCCGCGGAGTTTCGCAGCAGATCTCGTCATCTCCGCTGCCATCAGATTGGTGTCTCTCGTTGAGAACTTCGTGGCAGCAGTGCAATCTGGACGGCACAAAGAGATGGGCGAAGCTGGCGAGTTATTTGTGGGGTATAACCCCAAGTTGTGGCCATGTGATAGGAAAAACGATGAGAACCCATCAAATTTGGTTCTTTCAATGTGGACAATATGAAAAGAATTATGATAGCCCAGAAATTTTGGGGGTACCCGAACCAATTCCAACACCTTTGAAGCTAAGGTCTGATTCCCTTATGAAGTAACAAACCTGTAGGTTGAGCCTCCAGCCGCAGTTGTATGTATATATTTATACAAAGGATATTTTTTGTGCATTGGCACCTTCGTGGTCGGTTCATGTCCGCACTTGGTACTGGTACCTCAAAATGTTGGTGATCTTGTGACATTGTGGGACCTGTGCTCGCGACAGGATGGAGCAATTCCAACTATGGCATGTGGGCACCTGAGATCGATGGTGGTTGATGGTTTTGTCTCGGACCGATGATGCTTCAGAGACTCTTGACAACAAGAGGTGCAATGAAGTGAAACCATGTTGCAGGTTAGTCATGACTATATAGTCAATGTAGGCGTGTCCAAAAATGGGATATTCCGCCCAAGACAATGATTTTTGATGTCTGGGTGGAATCTGCGGATGCAGCAAATCCCAGGATTTTTGCATCTGCCATGGACTAACACTGTGAGTGTTGGTACGGCTCATGCATACATCTCTTGCCATGATTGTTGCAAAACCATGCAAAATCTGTTTATTTCTGAAAACAGGGTACAATTTATACAATGACGAGAATTCATTGGACGAAATATGAGGGTATTAGTTGGGGTAACATATAAATATATATATATATTATATATACATGGTAATTATTCTCAGTGCTGACCAAACTTGAAAACCATCACCAATTGAACTGTACAAATTTATAACGAAGACACTTGTATAATACACTTCAATCGACCAATATAAGCCACCAATTAGTGATTTACTTGTATAAGCCACTTATATTTATATATATATATATAAATAGTTTATACCATTACCAAGTGGCTAACCCTTGGGTAATTGTTCAGCTATGGGATTCTTATATCCCAAAAAGACACTCTACCAGGTCGAAACTGGCCTTAATCGCCTTCACGCGCTTGGTGGCGCGAGAGGAGCCGACAATTCAGGCGAAAGATTTCAGCTGTAACAATGTGGGTATGTTATCCAGAAAAGATGGTTTGGTGATGTTTGGTGATGTTTGTTGATGATGATTTGATCTTAGTTTAGGAATTCTTTCGGATACAAAGTTGCTCCCGGGGTCGAGATTGATAGACCATTCCCGCTGTTCACGTGCCGAAATGGGATTGGACTCTGAAGTTGGACAATGTAAGCCTTGCACCAGGATTTAATAGCAATCCAGCGAATTTTGAGCTATATATGAAGTCACAGTATTGAAACGCAGCAGAGTCACAGATATGTTTTGAGTGCCCCACATGGAAAGGTCAATCAACTCGTACCGCTCAGGTGAATGCGTGCTGCCCAGGTTACTGCCGGACTGACATGTGGCCAGCTTAGAATTCATCGGTGTCTTTGCTTTCAGGAAATCTGACCCACCAGTTCTACCTCAATCTTTGCAGTAGGGGTCCTGGCCAAACCCTGAAACAGCAAAACATTCAAGCGACACACAGCACCTTGAAATAGGATGAAATGGGAGTGTTGTGTACTAATACAAAAACTGACCATTCGTGACCAATACCAGCGTCGTCGTCATCATGAGGTTTCATCCCTCTTTTTGTCGACTCCTTTGCTGCTTATCTTGCCGTTTATTTGGGTGGTCTCAAGGTCCTCGAATCGCGGTGGTCAGGACCCAAGCGTTGGGGCGCGCACGGTAGCGCTGTGTGCGCTGCTGTCGCCGAGCGCTCCCAGTGGTGCCTTCTTTGAGAACCAACAAATCTCTGCGTGGTGAGAAAAGATCCCAACACCTCTACGTGAGAGGTCGCAGGATTGATGGTATTGATTGGGGGCATTCCTTTTTTGAACTACTGGTATTTTGGGAAGAAAACAAGAGATGGGAAGAAGAAGAAGGAGAAGAAGGAGAAGAAGAAGAATAAGAAGAAGAAGAATAAAAGAAGAAGAAGAATATGAAGAAGAAGATGAAGAAGATGAAGAAGAAGAAGAAGAAGTAGGATTGATGGCCATCAACAACAGTGCAGCAACTATTTCAGCATCCAGACTGTACCACATATTTGATGGTAATGATTATGATATAACTCAAACGGGATATGGCTGCTCCACTTCTCAACCATCAAACACTGGGATGAAGGGGTTCGAGGGACACACCAAGATGTTCTTAATTTGCAGCTTAATGAGGAATGAGGATCAGAATGATTTTCTCAGCGCAGGAAGTGTGGTATGAAATCACAGTAAGCCTTGCCAATCGATTAGAAATGCCAGTGGACACGGCTGCAAAAAGGAACTGCATCAGTTGTAAAGAGCCAACGCCCCCATGCATGCTTTAAACCCAATAGCCCATATTTTACTTTACCCCGTTAGGGTTAGTGACAACCATACTGTACCACGCAGGTCCAAGATGCTGAAGCAAAAGAGACCGCAGAGGCCAAAGGTGAGGCAACAAGCAAAGCCAAGAGGCGGCCGGGGAACAGCTTGCTGAACTCCTGCTTGGGGGGCAGTTGGGATGGAAAAACTGGATATAAGTATGGCAATCACCCCTGTAAGTTTGGGAATATGGTTAAACATCCAGATTCTGGATGGCAAAGAGAGATAGGACAGTTGGTAGACGATGAACCATCATGGTGGTTGCATGGTGCAATTCCACGATTTTGGCAAATGATGTAGATAGTAGATGCAACCTGTGGAAACTGGACTTGGTTTCGGAAGATCACATACGGAGCTCCGTGATCATGACTTTTCGGCTCGCAAGTGGGTGGGATGTGGGCCTCAAATCTTCCCCAGAACATGTGAAAGCAATCTCTTGCTATTTGGACATCCTGCAATGAAAATACTGAAGTCACTTGCACACATCTTTGAAAAGAGACTAAGAAAAATATAAGCAAAATCAATTGAATTATCTTGCAGCTACATGGTGAATTGAATCCCAAGCACAACCCGACATTAAAGGACACTGAATTCCTAGGCCCTAGGCAGGATGCTCGCCCGTGCCGCCAAGCGTCGGCGCACGAGCCAACCAGAGCTGGACTACTATCAGATTCTGGGGCTACGCCGTGATGCAAAGCACCAGGACATCATCCGGGCCTACCACCGGGAAGCGAAGCAAACCCACCCAGATCGGCCTGGAGGCAGAGCCTTGGACAATCTTTGGTCAATCTTTGGACAGTCTTTGGACAATCTTTGGACAATAGAAAGTCAGAATAGATGCCAGGTAGAATGCCAGAATAGAATGTCAGATAGAATGCCAGACAGAATGCCAGAGAAAATGTCAGAATAGATGCCCGATAGAATGTCAAAATAGATGCCAGATTGCCAGATAGAATGCCAGAATAGAATGTCAGAATAAAATGCCAGAATAGAATGTCAGATAGAATGCCAGACAGAATGCCAGAGAAAATGTCAGAATAGATGCCCGATAGGATGTCAGAATAGATGCCAGATTGCCAGATAGAATGTCAGAATAGAATGTCAGAATAGATGCCAGAATAGAATGTCAGATAGAATGCCAGACAGAATGCCAGAGAAAATGTTAGAATAGATGCGCGATAGGATGTCAGAATAGATGCCAGATTGCCAGATAGAATGCCAGAATAGAATGTCAGAATAGAATGCCAGAATAGAATGTCAGAAAATATATGCCGTATATACGTCCAGATGAGATGTCAGAAACTATGACAAAATAAGGTCACGGTGGGTATCACTCGAAGTAAAGTATTTTTTTGGTGGGTCTTTCTTTCTGGGAAGTTCATGCGAATACCTCGTTTCCCATTTCGAATTTCTCTTGAGTGCGTGGGTATAAGTCCTTGAAGGAAGACAACTCTTGTGAGGCAAAGAGGCGTTCCAAACCTTGGCCCATGCTTACGAAGTGCTCGCTGACGATGCGAAGCGACAAGCCTACAACGCCAGCATAGTGGAGCGAGGCAGCTGTGATGGGGCTGCGGCCACCCATGATCCAAAGCCAAGGTGTGAAAGGCACATCTTGGCCGAGCATCCTGAGGCCTTCGTGAAGCTTCTTCTTAGCTGCAAAATGGCGCTGTGGGCGCGGCTGCTCAGAGGTTTGACAGGAGCGCAACTGCAGAAGCTTCTTGATTGCTTGCACTTTGAGGAGAATGGGCAGAGGTTATTGACCCGCAGACAAGCTGGGGTGTCCTACTCTCAAGATCTCCGGCGACCTTGCTATTTGTATGCAGGTGCGGGGAACAGCTTTTGGGCAGAGGTCCTCATTCACGGCATATGTTTCGCCACCCCTCGTACTACGTCCAGGGCAGTGGCAGCCTACTACCATTCCGCGGTAGTGGAGCTGAAGCGATTGGTTCAAGAAGGCATATCGGCAAATCCTTTCGGCAGTCTTGAAGATGCAATTATCCGTGGGCTTTCAGGCCTGGACACCCAAGGCTTGACTTGCCCACTTTTGTTTTCTGTGCGTATTACTAGTAGAAGGTTTGGAAATAAGGATTTCCGAAGCAGCACTGTGGATGACATCCATGTGGCTCTGACGATGAGACAAGAATCATACAATGCTGCCAGCGCCAAAGCGTTGAAGAAGCTGAAGGAGAAATGGGCGCAGATGGCAGGTGACGGGGCTGAAAAGGCTCAGGGCTTAAGGCCAGGCACTGTTCGGAAAAGGAATTGTGGGGGAAGGGGAAGCTTGTGAAGACAAGGCCAGCTGTGCCGATCCTGAATTTGTTTATTTGATGTTGCCTTTATTCGCATACAGACGAAACTGGCCGAACAGTTACCTGTAAACACTGTAGCTTATTTGCATGTTGCAGGGTTTGGTTTACTTTTCGGCACGTCCTTCTCAAAGCCTGCCAGGCAAAAGACCGCATCGCGGCTCGCAGGCTACATCTTGGCGCAGCAAGAGGCCAGAAAAGACGCTCCTTTGGCCCGGGTTCGCAGATCCTTCAAGCAGCCGGCAGATGTCGTGGTCCAGGCACAGCTCAAAACGCGGCTAGTACTAGTACTGGCAAACCACTCCGTTTGCCGTTTGCCGCGCCGTGTCGATGACGTGTCGGAACATCAAAAAACGCTGTGTTTTGTGGGACAAAATGCACATGTCCATGATAATGGCTTTCATCTTGCAACGCACAGCTTAGCAACCTGTGCGTTGAATGTTACATCATCATCATCATCATCATCACCACCATCGTCGTCGTCGTCCTCCTCCTCCTCCTCCTCCTCCTCCTCGTCCTCATCATCGTCATCATCGTCATCATCATCATCATCATCATCATCATCATCATCATCATCGTCATCGTCATCGTCATCGTCATCGTCATCGTCATCATCATCATCGTCGTCGTCATCATCATCATCATCAGCACCACCACCACCACCACCACCATCATCATCATCATCATCACTATCATCATTATCATCAACAGTATCAACCCTGAACCCAAAACCCTAAACTCCTTGAATTTTCTCTCGAATATAAAGTTCAACGGGGGTGGGGATTTCATGATGCCCTAGAATTTCTTTTGAAACATCTTTAAGATTCCCGTGAATCAATATCCTTTGATGTTTCCGAACCGGGGGGTTTGCACGTACTAGTACCAAGAGTATTAAGCGACAGTAGACGTTCATTGAAAGTCAGGGTTTGGCGAAGGGATTTCCATCATCCCAGAGCCATCCGATCCCAAAACATGGAGGAAGTAGTGTTGATATTGGCCTTCAAGTGTTTTTGCAAATTTCTTCCAGAGTCAAGTTTGCATCCTGCCACCATTTCACCAGGTTCCCTTTCTTGGTCATTGGGCCTCAACGCTTGGACTTGGACCAGATCAGCTCCGAAATCGCCTCAGCTCATTGGAGGGCCAACAAGCCCTAAAGGACTTCTTTGCACGGCATCCTTTCGCACTTGAGGATACGAAGTCCACCAAACTTCCCAGAGAAGTGTTCGGTTTCATTGGCCTTGTGTCTTGGTCTGGCCCATATTTTTTGTCAGACATTTGACTTGAGAAAGGGGATGACCCTGTCATAAGGGGTACGTGGCGGGAGGGCTTGATGAATTTGATTGACGACTTTCCACAGCATTCATCTTGCACATAGTCTTTTGATGTTTGTCTTTCCACATACGACTGTGAGGTGGATCTTTGCCAGCTCTTGGTGCTGAACAAGGAGTACTGTGAAATGGGGAAGGAGCAGATCAAGACCAGATGCCAGGGCACCTTCACCCCATCTACCCAGGACTTTGGAAATGAATGTCAGCACCTCATTGAATTTGTGAACTGGGGATTCCTACAGCAAACCCGCCTCATTGATTTGCGACACCTTCCGGCTGAAGCACGCAGTGATTTCCTGTGGGCTGTGCTTTGTACATTGGAAAAGCTGGAGCGTGTGCTAGTGACGCACGCGACGCAGGTTCCATGTTTGAAGTCCAGGCAATTTGCAGTGGAAGTCTCTTTGCTGGCCTCGGCCTGATAGCCAATGCCCATGTCCTCTGATGTCCTTTGGTTCCAATGCCCCCTGAAAATGGTCCGGTTCAGCGGCACTTGGGAGTTGCGATTTGAAACCGAAGGAGAGGGGAGCTGCTTCGAAGCCGACCTGCTATCTTCTCCGACACATGCACATTGCCAACACAATCGTAGAGAATTTGGGGTAGATGGTGATTGATGATCTGATTGGTCGTTCACAACACGATGGAATTTGAAGATGACGACCGGAGCTGCAGCAACATGATTGCAATTTATTTTGTAACGTACTACTAGTATAGTATAAAGAAGTAAATGTGGGTAACCATGTGTAGATTACGTGTTGCTGATGCCTTTGCTGCCTCACTTCACAGCCAGCTCAGCTAGCTCCACCAGCGCCAGGAAAAAGAAACGGAAAACGAAGAAAGACGAAGGTCAGAAGGAAACTGAGGTTGAGGCTGAGGCACAGGGGCCTGATGGGTGATGTGGTTGGATTGTCATCTAGGAAAAACAATGAGATATTTTTCGGGCTTACTGGGTGGAGGCCCTGAAATTATAAGGTTGGTTTTATAAGATACATGTGTGACAACCGCCCGCACTGGAGTGTTAGCTCCGAAGTTCCAATGAAACCATGTATATCCTATGTTGGGCTTTTGTAGGGCTCCTGTTGGGGGTATGTTGGGCACATGTTGGCTCTATGTTAGGCCGATGTTGGGCCATCTTGGGCCTATGTTGCGCCCATGTTGGGCCTATACTGGCTCGGTGAGCCATGTTGGGGGCCATGTTGGGGCCAAGTTGGGCCCATGTTGGGCCTATGTTGGGCCCATCTCGTGGGCCATGTTGAGCCCAAGTTTGGCAATTTAGCCGATTTTAGGTCCCTTTAAAAAACAGAATTCTAGAGCGATAAAAATCCCCCCAAGCTAAAGCTTAATAACTATTGCAATTGGTTCTGGTTAATGCGTGCACACAAAAAACGCATCGGCATCTTCGGCGCGGGCGGATTTGGCCTTCACTGCCTGTTGGTTCTCATTTTTGTTGTGTTATTTTCAAGATTGCCCATCCAAAGTGCATTTCCCATTCCCATCAGCCAGGCGCCAAACAGCGACATTCTGGCGGCTTTGAACATGGACTCCGCCGAGGTAGTCAAACTCATGGGGGGTTCAATGGGAAAATCTGGGAAAATCCGGAGGGTTGATTAAATCCCGGTGCATCCCAGCAATGTTTGGGGCGAAGATATACTCATTTGTCGGATACAGTAGAAATATACATACAGACATACATACATACATCCATGCATGCATGCATGCATGCATGCATGCATACATAGATAGATAGATAGATAGATAGATACATAGATACATAGATACATAGATACATAGATACATAATAGGTAAATGAAATCTGCAAGCGATATTGGATCACTATGAATGGATGCAGCCAAGTTGTGTTTGGTGTCAGTATCGGGGTAAGCCGCGACACATCACTGAGTCACAACGAATTTTGGCAGACCCCAAAGCAATGCTGATAGACACTTCCAAAGAGAACCAACAACATGGGATTCCATTATTTTGATTGTGCTTATACGTTGCAGTCACTTACTTAGTTCTGTTATATGTTGTCCCAGTAGGAGTTTGGCGTTCCAAGTCGCAGAGAACAATGCATCATCGGCTCCAGCAAGTTCCCGGACCACTTCTCTTTGACCCAGTTGTAAAATCAGTTCCACGAGGCGCTTGAACAACGAGAGCTGGTTCGCACGGTGCGCCCTGCCAGGGGAAACGGTTCTGGGGGTTGGATTTCATTTCAGAAAATAGAATTCTGGGGTTGTTTACCCTTTCCACATATTTTTTCCCGGGAATATTCTTTTCTATGTTGAAACAAGCAAGATTTCCATCATTTCTCAGACAGAGGGACAGGGTGTCCAAAGTAGATCTTATTGGCCAGCATTTTTTGTTGCCAAAGATCAATCGCTTTTCCCCAAATCGGTCGATTTCAGAATGACACCTCCATACACAAGGTGCATAGTTTTTAGTGGGTGTTAGCATGGCTGCCCGGCTCATTCTGCAGTTTTACAGACGAATCCGCGGCCTCTGCGCCGGGGCCTGAAAAAAAACATGCGCGAAATGGATGGCCCGGATGGCGATGTTCTGCCAATGGCAGGGAGCCTAAAGAGGGTTGCGTGGTGATCCAGCATTGGCAAATTTGGTGAGGTATTTCACAGACTTGTTCTCAACATAGTTTTGTTTTTTGTCAAACCATTAACAATATCCTTCTGAAATCTTTTAAACACATCCCAATCATATCATCCGAGTAGCCATCTATCATAGTGGTCTTGCTACATAGCTTAGCTGCAGAGCTGCAGTGGCAAGTTTTGAGAGATGTATAGCATTCCCCAAAAAGATGGAAAAGTAAAATCCAATCCTGAAATAGCGATGAATTACCTTCGTATCTTTATTCATTCTTTTAGGGGGTTACAAGAAAGTGTCAAAATGTGTCAAAGATGTGATTCGAAATGTTCTGATCACCCCAAGAGAAGGTCTCATATAGAGTCCCCTGCTTGTGAGTCCTTCGGGATCTTTGCTTTGTATTTTATTTTTGGAAAGATGATGTCAATCCCTGGTCGTTAACTGGAGGGTTACCCGGTTACAGTCATAGCCAAGGCTAGAAAGCCATGGTACCTCCCCATTTAACAAACCAACGGTTTATGAATCCGGGGTTGACATAGTCATAGTAATGATAATCAAAGGAAGTTTAGTGGGAGAAACTTCCGTGTTACGGACTTTTAGAATGTCAGGGAAAGAGTTAGTCAAAGAAAGAGTTAGTCAAAGAAAGAGTTAGTCAAAGAAACAGTTAGTCAAAGAAAGAGTTAGTCAAAGAAAGAGTTAGTCAAAGAAACAGTTAGTCAAAGAAAGAGTGAGTCAAAGAAAGAGTTAGTCAAAGAAAGAGTTAGTCAAAGAAAGAGTTAGTCAGGGAAAGAGTTCAAAGAAAGAGTTAGTCAAAGAAAGAGTTAGTCAAAGAAAGAGTTAGTCAAAGAAAGAGTTAGTCAAAGAAAGAGTTAGTCAAAGGAAGAGTTAGTCAAAGAAAGAGTTAGTCAAAGAAACAGTTAGTCAAAGAAAGAGTTAGTCAAAGAAAGAGTTCGTCAAAGAAACAGTTAGTCAAAGAAAGAGTTAGTCAAAGAAAGAGTTAGTCAAAGAAACAGTTAGTCAAAGAAACAGTTAGTCAAAGAAAGAGTTAGTCAAAGAAAGAGTTCGTCAAAGAAAGAGTTAGTCAAAGAAAGAGTTAGTCAAAGAAAGAGTTAGTCAAAGAAAGAGTTCGTCAAAGAAACAGTTCGTCAAAGAAAGAGTTAGTCAAAGAAAGAGTTCGTCAAAGAAAGAGTTCGTCAAAGAAAGAGTTCGTCAAAGAAAGAGTTAGTCAAAGAAAGAGTTAGTCAAAGAAAGAGTTAGTCAAAGAAAGAGTTAGTCAAAGAAAGAGTTAGTCAAAGAAACAGTTAGTCAAAGAAAGAGTTAGTCAAAGAAAGAGTTAGTCAAAGAAAGAGTTCGTCGAAGAAAGAGTTCGTCGAAGAAACAGGTAGTCAAAGAAACAGTTAGTCAAAGAAACAGTTAATCAAAGAAAGAGTTCGTCGAAGAAAGAGTTCGTCGAAGGTTCGTCAGGGAAAGGGTTAGTTAAAGCAAGAGTTAGTTAGGGCATTGATTGTTCCCGCAATGCAAATGGGATTGCAAGTGGTGCTGCCGGATGAGTTGCCGATGGAGTTTTGAAGGAACTCTCGCACGAAATGCGTTTTTGAGAGATAGCAGATGCAGGAAACCCTATGTTTTTCTATACAAAGTCTGTCCCCGAACCTCGATGATCTACCTCTGCGGTGCGACGGGTGCGAGACGGTCTCGTGTGTGGTCGGATCATCCTCGGATTGGTCTCGGATCGGTCTCGGATCGGTTCCGCATTGTAAATGGGGTTTCAATTGTTTTTCGTGCATGTGTGGTCGACAGAATTCCATTGTGATTTGCAACTGTAGGATCGTTCCCGCATTGTAAATGGGGTTGCAAGTGGTGCTGGTGGATGAGTTGCCGATGGAGTTTTGAAGGAAGTCTCGCACGAAATGCGTTTTTGAGAGATAGCAGATGCACGAAACCCTATGTTTTTCCATACAAACAAAGTCTGTCCCCGAACCTCGATGATCTACCTCTGCGACGCGACGGGTGCGAGACGGTCTCGTGTGTGGTCGGATCATCCTCGGATCATGGTCGGATCGGTCTCGGATCGGTTCCGCATTGTAAATGGGGTTTCAACTGTGTTTCGTCTATGTGCGGTCGACAGAATTCCATTGTGAATTGCAACTGTAGGATCGTTCCCGCAATGTAAATGGGATTGCAAGTGGCGCTGGTGGATGAGTTGCCAATGGAATTCCATTTTGATTTGCAACTGTAGTATCCTTCCCGCACTGTAAATGGGATTGCAAGGTTGCTTCCTGCTTTGGCTGCATACGTAATACTATTGTCTTTTGCAGCTGGACTTCGTAAATCGTATTGGAGTGGCTGCATGAAGGCTGCGACAGTGATTTGTCAGCAGATTTTCTCCATTTTGGCGCTAGTGATTTTCCTTCTAAAAATCCTTTTAAAAAGTGCTTCAAAATCGTCTTTTTTTCGCTCTGGCGTCGAGATCCGGTTTTGGAGCTACAATTTCCGACGCCGTTGCGCGTAGTTCTATTGTGTTTTGCAACTCAGTCTCTGCAGATCGCATTGTAATGGCTGCGTCAAGGTTGCTTCGTGCTGTGGCTGCATTTGTCAATACTATTGTCTTTTGCAGCTCGATCTCGTAAATCGTATTGGAGTGGCTGCATGAAGGCTGCGACAGTGATTTGTCAGCAGATTTTCTCCATTTTGGCGCTAGTGATTTTCCTTCTAAAAATCCTTTTAAAAAGTGCTTCAAAATCGTCTTTTTTTCGCTCTGGCGTCGAGATCCGGTTTTGGAGCTACAATTTCCGACGCCGTTGCGCGTAGTTCTATTGTGTTTTGCAACTCAGTCTCTGCAGATCGCATTGTAATGGCTGCGTCAAGGTTGCTT